GTCCACGGCCTACCCCAGTTACCACTACTGTGCATGTGTGTCAAGGACAGAAAGGCAGATGTGGCAGTGGAATGTGTCAAAGCAGTTTGGAGAGAAAAACAAAGGAAAGGACAAAAAAATAAGAAAACGATTAATCGATTATTAAATTAGTCATCGATTATTTTAATAATCGATTAGTCGTCGATTAATCGATTAATCGTTGCAGCCCTAGATGCATATTAAACATAACACTAACACATGCAGTGTATAAATATTGTTGGCTGTCTCTATTTTAAATTTCACAAGTCAAGTAATCATTGAATCGTTTTAAAAGAAAATGTGGGATAATGGTTGCTGGATACAGAATCACATGCTGACCTTAAAACAAGTATTGGAAAAGTTTAAGAATATTTCCACAGAATAACAGATGAATTTTTGCTTTGTTTGTTTGTTTGTTTGACACCTCATCCATCACCACTCTGCTCCAAGTTATAAATCAAGTCAAATTTGACATGCCTAAAAAAGAGCTCTTTATAAAACAAAAATCAATAAAAATGATTAATTCCCCACCTTCATCATGAAGAGCGGGAGATAATGTGATGTAATACTGAATTACATCATCGTGTCTTTCCCGATGTAGTGATTTTGTAGTGGTAAAGGTTCAGAACATCTGATGTAACACGGCTGAAACGGGTCGATTGGGGGCTGTTTTACAGAGCGCCGTGAACGTGACGAGGGACTTCGAGGGGTGCAGCACTCTGAGGAAGTATTTTGGCCAGCTGCATTACCTCCAGAGCCGAGTGCCCATGGGACCAGGCCAGGAGGCCGCAGTGCCCATCTCATGGTAGGAACAGCATGCAAAAAAACAAAAAACAAAAAAACACAAGAAGGTCGTTTCAGCAGTTTGCAGTTGTTACCATTGAACTAAAGCAGTCTGCAGTGATTTATTGTGCTTATTTATAACTGAAGGTTCAGACAAGATGTTTTACGTTTTAAACCTTATTTTGAAGCGTTTTGTGAGTGATACTGTCCAAACATCTGACTTCATAGGATTTTACCTTTTTATTCGTGCCAATAAGTAGATTTAAATTTCCTCCAGGACTGAAATTTTTTCTGGAAAAACCATCACCCACGACGACATCAGCTATGAGCAAGCATGCATCCTCTATAACCTTGGTGAGCGAGAACAAACTGCAATTTATAGTTTTAGCCTCAATTTGTGTACACGTTAAAGTTATTAATGAGAACAAATTCTTCAGACAGCTCCGGCAAAAACTTTAGGAACATTTATAATCTGCTGACGTATAAATTAAAAGCTGTTTGTGAAATCTCTGCAGGGGCTCTGCACTCCATGTTGGGAGCCATGGATAACCGAGTGTCTGAGGAGGTGCGGCTCGCGTACACTAACGCAACAATAGTCGTTGGCTTTCGCGCCTGCGGTCTGACCGACTCTGCTCCGTTTTCAGGGAATGAAAGTGTCGTGCACTCACTTCCAGTGCTCAGCCGGAGCCTTCTCCTACCTGAGAGACCATTTCAGCCACAACTTCAGCGTGGACATGAGCCACCAGATTCTGAACCTCAACATCAACCTGATGCTGGTAGCTAGCGAAACACACAGCATTATCCAGGTAAAAACACGGAAATGTCTTATTAACCTGTGTTTGTCTCCAGGGCCAGGCTCAGGAGTGTCTTCTGGAGAAGTCCATGCTGGATAACCGCAAGAGTTTTCTGGTTGCCCGTATCAGTGCTCAGGTTTGTTGTTGTTAAATATTCGTCACGTCCACCTGTATCGTAGCGATCATTAATGATGGGTGGTTGTGGTGCTGCAGGTGGTGGATTATTACAAAGAGGCCTGCAGGGCTCTGGAGAACTCAGAGACGGCCTCTATGCTTGGAAAGATCCAGAAAGACTGGAAGAAGCTGGTTCAGATGAAAATCTACTACTTTGCTGCTATCGCACATGTGAGTGTCAGGAATGAGTTTTGTTAATACAGTGGGGAGAACAAGTATTTGATACACTGTTGATTTTTCAGGTTTTCCCACTTGCGAAGCTTGTAGATGACTGTAATTTTTATCATAGGTACTCGTCAACTGTGAGTGATGGAATCTAAAACAAAAATCCAGAAAAATACAATGTATGATTTTTAAATAATTAATTTCCATTTTATTGTGTGAAATAAGTATTTGATCATCTAAAAGAAAAAAATTGTGTAGGTCTTCTGGACGGGTTCTTCTCTAATGAAACATTTC